ATCAAAAAAATAAAATTGCGTACAAGAAATTTAGATTTAAATTACCCATAAAGGTTTTGATATGCCGCTAAAAAAAACTAACGAAACCAAACCTAATTTTCAAACAAACAGAATATGGCCGATTTCAACGTATAAATAAAATTAAGTAGAAACAGAAAATCCAGGAGAATTGACATCACATCACCTTGAATTATGAAGATATCTGGTACTGAAAAGTTTTCATTCTGTACGATTGTCAATCATCAGTTAGAACTCGTACATACGATCCATCGCTAAAAATGTTGGAAAAATTATCATTCCCCTGTACTGTTTCACTAAATACCAGACTCCTCCAGCTTAACTCTTGGAAAATGAGTACTCCTACTATATTTGGGTAGGAGTTGCCCAGTCAGCACTTTCCATTTTTGATAGAGTCCAAAAGGCGTGTCCACGTCCTTGTTGTTGACAAATTAATTTCCACTCTACAACGCCTTTCTCACAGACGAAACTTCGCGGGCCTCTCACTGCTCTGCCGCTATTTCTATGGAAAATGCTCAGACGAAATACATTCCTTAATTTCGCCAGTTCTTAATTCACGGCTAAGATCAGTCATGCTACGCACATTGTAGCGAACGACCCTCATTTCCTTCGTTCTAGTCGAGAAACTTCTTCCTGCGAACCGCTGCTCTGGGGAACCGACTCCCAAGAGAATGCTTTCACTACAAACTTAACCTGTTCATGTCTAGGCTTAACCTAACCGTTATCTTCCCCACGTATTCCCATAAATAATGCCTCTTACTCGGTAACCCTCTACCTTGAATAGCTCTTGGGCCTTTTTCAGGATGAACATATTGTAAAAAATAAAAAAAAGGGATACTTCCCCGGTCACAACAATCTTAACCTTTTCAAGTCTAGGGTTAATCGTTATCTTTGCCACATATTCCCCATAGAAAATGTCTCTTACTCACTAACCCTCTACCTTGAATGGCTCTTGGGCCTTTTTCAGGATGAACATCATTGTAAAAAAATAGAAAAGTGATTCTTTTCCGATCACAACAATCTTAACCTGTTCAAGTCTAGGGTTAATCGTTATCTTCGCCACATATCTCCATGTACAATGTCTCTTACTCTGTAACCCTCTATCTCGAGTGGCTTTCGGGCCTTGTGCAGGGTGAAAATCATTTTAAAAAAATGTCCAATCGCACTGAAATTCTACCAAAAGGCAAATAAGTTTTGTTGTCAGAGAGGATTTTATTTTCATCGACTGAAGTTCATCCATGAGTTTATGCTTGGCTGATTCCTAAGCAAACAAGAATGCCAGGGAAAGGCAATGGCATAAAACGAAACATTAAGAATTTCTTTTTCGTGTTTTTAAAAGATGAAAAATATTCAGCAAAGATGAAAAGCAAATAAGAAGTATTGTCATTTAAGAAGAATTACGAGAAAGAATAAAGGGGCGAAGAAGAAAATAAAGGGAATAAAAAAAGCTGTTAAGTCGGGGTGGATCAAATGCAGAATGGCAAAAGAAAAAAAGTGTTTGATAAAATATTAACTGGGAGATAATAACACGTAGGAGTTGGCGATTTATTCTCTTGTTAGATGGGACGTCGTTTGAAGAAAGCTTTAGTGTGGGTCACCACCTGTCTAGAACCATTGACTTTCGCGCGAAGTGCTTCAGCAACCGATCGGGACGTCATCATCTGCTTTTTATGCTAAAATCATCACTGAATAGATTGCCGACATGAAGTGAAAGATCTTTAAATGGAGGCCAATGAAAAAGAGGGTGACACGAAGCAAAATTAATTAGTTGGTTTCTAAAAACAAACCGAAATCTATCTATCTATCTATCTATCTATCTATCTATCTATCTATCTATATATATATATATATATATATATATATATATATATATATATATATGGAAAAGACAAAAGGAAACCATACTTTAGCCGACGCGTTTTGTCTTCTGGGTGACTTTATCAAAGCAAGTGCATTTGTCTTGATAACGTCCATCAGAGGACGAAACGCGTCGGCTAAAATAACTTTTCCTTTTCTCTTTGTTCATATTGTCCTTTCATAGATATATTCTACCTTAAATTTTACACACGCACGCACACACACACACACACATAAACGCACACACACACACATATGATAAAAATATACTTTTAGGGTATACTATATTTATGGGTAAAATATTTATATCGTATGGTCAGAAGATTGAATTTTAGCATGTAACAGACTATCGCCACTCAATGTTGAATTCATTGTTTACTTATATATATATATATATATATATATATATATATATATATATATATATATATATATATATATATATTAAGACATTTTATGTTTATACATTCTTTTTATTTTTAAGTAAATGCTCTGTTTATAATAAACATTATTAACAACATTTACCAGTCTGAATGCCCCAGAAATTGTCATAGAAAATATGCGGCCTCCGACAGGAATCGAACTTGTATTCTATACGGGTGTCATATAGCCTGACGTGCTTTTACCCATTTCGTCACAGAGGAGCGTTCGGTTAGCAAGGTCGATTTTACTGTTTTTAAAATACAACCTTCCATGATTCTCTCACGTACATTTATATCTGCTCAATGCGTATCGAAATGTAAACAAATGACTACACACATTATGAAATTGACAAAGTCCGACAATTATTTTAAGACATTTTATGTTTATACATTCTTTTTTTATAGATACAAATATTTGAGTAAATGCTCTGTTTATAATATATATATATATATATATATATATATATATATATATATATATATATATATATATATACAGTGTATAAAAGATACTGTGTGAGAATTGGTCGGAATATATATATATATATATATATATATATATATATATATATACAAGTCCAATGGGCAAAAGAGTGGTACCTAGTCTAATAGGCAAATAAATTCCACAAATGCTATCACCGTTCTTCAATCTCAGGTAAGCAATTCTCTCGCCAAAAGGTGTCTCACCTTTGAACGAGTGTACCGTGCTTTTATGCACCTGATCCAGCTTTCGTTCAGACAATGAGCGCCCAGAACCAGCCAATAAAAATGGCTACAAGCAACACCACCACTTCCGTCCACACAAAGTGCTACCCGATTTACCTTCAGTCCGAAGCTCACCAATTCGCCGTCTCCACACTCCATTGCGAAACATACACACGACTCTGGCTCTTTTGGGTCGCCGTGGTAAGTCTCCGCTAAATATTTTTACAAACTTTAAGGGCGCGTTCCTCATATCAAAACAAGGACAAAACATATGTACGCAAATGCTTCATTTTTGAGTTATTAAGCTCAACCTGTATAATGTGTTCTTTGTTGTCAGGCTTGAGTCTTCCTTGATCCATAGATTGTGGTACCATGGATCCTCTTTCAGACACTCGACAATAAACAGCGGCAAAGCTTGGATGACTTGGTTGCCTTCGGTTTGGAAACGCAATTTGATACAGCCATGCAGCCTCATGTCCATTACCATTCCCGCGGCCGTATGTAAAAATCATATCTGCCTGCTCACCGTATAAATATCCTGCCATTGTTAAACGGAACACTTCTTAGTTAACTCACTACTACACACGTTAAACGTTGAAAACGGACTAGCCACAATTGTACACGAATAACAAATGTAACATAGTCGACATGGCAGCACAGTGCCATCTATCGTAAAATTAATTTAAACTTATTAATTCAAAAACGAAGGATTTTCGGATATATGTATATATGGACATTTGTTCTAGTTTGGATGTGAGGAACCCGCATCCAAATTTTGGAAAAAGTATTTTTGATACACTCTCTCTCTATATTATAAATTAGCTGATTTATAAATATGGTTCCTTCGCTACACAGGAATTACCATGTTTCAAAAACCGAAGCTAAAAACTTCAAATTTAATTATATAATTAAATTAAAAGCCTTAGTTCTGTTTCATCTTCAAGAGAATTTCAAAAATTCGCTTGAAGATGAAACAGAACGGATTGATGAATTTAAATATGTGTGTAAGTGCGTGTGTGTGTGTGTCTTGAAGGATGTCAAAAATAAACAGAACGCCTTTTAACACTCTAAAATATGATGCTTGGCCATTTAGTTAGATTCTGAGAAGCGGGTTGGGGAGCCTTAGCTGGAGAGAGTTGAAAACTCTGGTGTATATTCGGCAATGCAACAGGAAGTCATATAAATTACAAGCGCTTTGATTTTACTGTCAATATGAAACAATTTCAAGTTGTATGTGTCCATTCAAAGTTGTGATGCTATAGTTCGTGCCAAGGGAGCCATACTAAATAATGATTACGAATTTTAATGTCCCTAAACAAATTTATTTTGTGCTATTTTGGTTTTCTTTAGATCAATAAAAGTAATTAATTCTACTTTCCCCGTCGTAGCTCATAACTTTTGCATGTCTTGTTTTTACGAATCCCAAAGTCGTGTGTGCGTATTTATTCAGATTCTGACCGTGGCCATTCTGTTCCCTTCTCACTAATGCCCTTGGGAAAGGCATGAATCCATTTTATAGTTCCCTCTCCAGTTATATAAATAGGGTATATCGAGCTCTTTAATCTGGAGGGTGTGTAGACTGGCCAAAAGAAGAATTCCGAATTACCAATACAACAGACGTGGAAAATAGCCTCGGTCCCGTATTGGACGGAAGAAAATTGCTCGCACATACACATCTATTATCTATCTATCTATCTCTCTATCTATCTATCTCTCTCTCTCTCTCTCTATCTATATATATATATATATATATATATATATATATATATATATATATATATATATATATATATATATATCATTGAATAATTTAGAAAACTTTTGTCTACTTATTTTCAGTAGGATCCTCTCATATTCACTTCTTAGTATCCTTATTAAACGAAGACAGAAAATTACCATGGTGATGGATATTTATTTATTCCGAGTACTTTCGATATATATATATATATATATATATATATATATATATATATATATATATAATATGTTCATGTCTTCATGTTTCTATCTATCTTCTATCTATCTATCTATCTATCTATCTATCTATCTATCTATTTCAGCCTTATTTCTGTCTCATTAGGTTTATATCTATCTATATATCTATATTTCAATCAGTCCATGTCTAAGTCAATTTTCTATCTATCTATCTATCATGGTGATATTTATTTAAGTCGATCTCATCTTGCATCTCTCGCTCAATACTGGAGCCTATCTCAAATCTTGCCATTCCAATACGAACAAAGTTCCATAAAATTCAACAAATAAAAATGAATTATAGTGTCAAATGTCATTATAATAAAATTATTATAACAGTTATAATTATCATAATTTCCCGATTTCTAAACCAATGAGAATCGACCATATATTTCTTCTCTATACACACAAAAACGTGATATTTTCACTATCGAATAAGCAGTCAAGTCGTACAGGCCATCAGCACGTACGTCAATGAAAATGTCGGCTCCTTTTCACTTTTCAGGCCGTAATATAACATTTATCTCTTAGCAGTTAACAAAAATTCGATGTAAGAAAACCCCAGATACTTCTTGTATTTTCCAAATAAATTATCTGGACACTCATTACACATCTATGACAAAAACTTACGAGAAAGACTGTAAACATTTTAATTATTCTTTATCTTATCATTCTGTCAGATTCCGATTCAAATTTGATCTACATTTGAACCGAAACTGATAATTTTATTTAGTATTACTGCCTCTCGTGTCTCCAACGCCACATAACAGCCAGATAATAAATAATACTTGTTTTATAGTTTCCATGTCTTGTTTCTCATTTTTACGTGTATTTTTGTATATATAAATGAAAGGGAATTTATAATTATTTACTCAGCGTTATAACTCCTCTATGAAGTAAATAAAAGATTTATTTTATTCCCGTTTGACTTATTTTATGTTTTCATCAGAAAAACCAAAAATAAATAAATAAATAATAATAAAATAAATGTAAAAAAGTTAATTTTCTTTTCTATATTTTTATTCATAAAAGGAAATAATAATAAAATAAAATAAAATAAAAATAAAAATAAAATAAAATAAAATAAAATTAAAATAAAAATAAAATAAAATAAAATAAAATAATATAAAATAAAAATAAAATGAAAAAAAAATAAAATAAAAATAAAAATAAAATTAAAATAAAAAAAAAAATAAAAAATAAAAAAAAAATAAAAATAAAATAAAATAAAAATAAAATAAAATAAAAATAAAAATAAAATAAAAATAAAATAAATGCAAATAAAACTAAAGATCAACTTTTTACGTAATATGTATTTCCATTTTTAACAAATGAAAAAAGTATGTTGAATTTTTACCGCGTTTCTTTAACCCAAATGTATAATTTAATTGTATTTGATTTAAAGAAATAGTTCATAAATCAGAATGTTTTCTAGATTTTTTTATTACAAATTTTATAAAGTCTCTTACCAGAAATTTAGTTTTAATAATTTTTGTTTTATTTTTTAACAGACTTTTCTTCTGAAGGCTTTTTAATTTTATTTTTACATTGCGAAATTTATTTCAAAATGCTATTATTTATTACATAGAATTAATTTAATATTTTTCTCTATGATATTGTCATTCATAACAGCAAATATATTGATAATAAATTTTAATTTTTTATCTGATATTTGTGGTTTTATTTCTGAATTTTAGTTTACCGTTAAAAAAAACACATAAAAATTGTGGCAAACGTGATGTGTTATACTAAAACTTAATGAAAAATCATTTACATATTTAACTTTAGCATATCATATATATCCTTATGACTATAGTTAGTTGTCAATCTATATTGCACTTTTTTATGTAAATGTTTAAATATAATGGGGAATGGTTTGATTCGTTGTTTACTTATCTCTAGCTGCTTAAATCTTTTATATACGGTTTATATCTGTCAGTGTTTAAATCTAAGGTCACGTCAAGAAAGTTAATCACGTTTATGCTTGTTTCTTTAATCATGTAGATTAAGAAGATCAGATAACACATAGTACCTGTTTGAAATTTTCATCTGTGATACCTAATACTACTGATTTTTAGGTTATAGTCTTTAAAGAATTTTACCAGTTTTCTTAGTCTGTCTATGCTTGGATTTTTTATGTAGTATGATTACGCCGTCATCTCTATAAAGTCCTATATTGTTGATATCGAATAGTTATTTAAGTCGTCATATTAAAAATATCCCCACTATCTCGATTGCTTCTGCCGAATTATATGCTCCCATGACAAAATTGAATTCTTCATTATCTCTTTTGGTCCACATGCATCCATTATGATACAACATGGATTTGGGGGCTTATCTTATTATTTTGATTTTTTTATCGCTAATGTGGCAATAGTTTTTCCTAATTTTCTTGCTGTTGTGACCAAGTAAATGGTTAAAGAAATAACAAAACAAGTGTTAAAGATATATCATATATTAAACAGTAAGTACAACAGAAGAGTATTACACGACTAGCGAGTGGGTGTCGGATGACTCAGCGTTCAATCTATTCGACTGTTATATTTACCAGCCTCCCCACGAGGTAGGATGTGGCACAAGGCCGAGTTTAATGTGGGGTATCCGAACCGGTAAGCTCAGCCCAAAATTCTCCATAGATTCCGTATAAAACGGGGTCGGGTAGCTGTTTGACAAGACGAGACAAGACGAGACGAGACAAGACGAGACGAGACAAGACGAGACGAGACAAGACCAGACTCTGCTCTTCGACATAGCCTCGTCTGGGGATCCTCTCTGCTCGGAGGCAGAGAGTTTGATCAGCGCAGTGCGAACAGATCTGTCCGACTGTTAATATTTAACAGTCCCCCACCACGATGGATGGATGTGGCACAAGGCCGAGTTTACCGTGGGTTCCGTAGGCTAGGCCAAAAATATACCCTTAGAACCCGTATAAACGGGTTCAGAAACTATCTCCCCGGACGAAACTTTGCCCTTCGACAAAGCCTCGTCCGGGTTCCTCTCTGCTCAAGGCAGAGAGTTCGACAGTTGAACAATCTGGTCGATTGTTACCCCAAGACCTTCTCTCCTACTAATATTATAGTAGGCGGAACAGACGTAGACTCTTTAGAAGGAGGACACCACAACACTTGCATTAAAAGATCTTCGGTAACAGACGGGTAGAAATCGTTTATATCAAACTGGATGAACGTACACTTGTTTTTTTTTTCCTTTCTCTGTTTCTAAACCAGTCTAATCACCGAAGTTAAGCAACGTTTAGCCTGATACATAAGTAACCATCTGTATGCAGGTGGTTTGCTGATAATATAGGTTCTAGATTATTCTGTTGGGTTGGCGTATAATTATCAGGCGTTTTTAAACAATGTTGATTATGAAAAAGAAACATAACAATTCAACAATAACATTTTTAAATGAGTATGATTATCGACACGTATTTTTATAAGCTGAAAATATAATAATATTTTTATTTAAAAAAAGTAAACAAGACAGCAATTTTTATTAACAAATAACTCACCTACAAAAACACCTTAAATGATCTGCCGAAGAGAGTACTCTAATCATTTATAAATTTATATGATGGTGATACAACGTTATATGAGTGCACTTACAAAACTCTAGATGACCAGTACAGGGCAGATGATCTCTTCTCAGACGTATCTCTAAGAGGTCAGTAGGGGAAAACGGGTTGGCCACATTCAATGGCTCAAAAACAAAACTGAAAACGTTTCATCACCACCAAGCAGACCAAGAACTCCCCCAGGGAGGCCCCGTGTGTTGAGCACCTTTTGGGACTTAATGTAACGAAAACGATCCATTTTTGTTTTGAAAAGAATTATGAAAAGTGGATTGTTTACAACAAGGTTGAGTGGAAAGGATCACAGAGAAAAGTTATGTTGTGTATCTGGTGAGATTGGAAGGACATTATGTACGACGAGATCCTCCCGCAAAATCAGGCGTTGAATTCGGGTAAATACTGTTCCTAATTGGAAATCGAAGTGGCCTTTGATTTACTAAGCTTGCTAACCATTGCACCACGTCGAAGTGCCCCTCTGTACATATGTATGCATGTGTATTGTATTTTTGCGCATGCGCGTGTGTGTGTGCTATAGTTGGAGCGTGTTAGCGAGAGGAGGGGATTTATAGAGAAAAAAAAACAGTTTGTAAGCCGCCATTCCCACACCAAATCATACAGATCGTTCGAGATAAAAACGTCCGAGGGTCCCACATCACGCCCAGCGATCTCTGAAACAAAACCATTTGCTCCGGGTCACTAACGACAGTTTCCCACCATTTAAGTTTCCATCAACCTAATTGGCGCTTCGGCAGGGTTAGGTTCGAAGGATGCTCCAGTGAAGTCGGTTATCTGCCCATTTCGACAGTGGCGTCCCGTTGTGTCACTGGCACGACTCTCATTGTTCATCTCGGATTTATCAATGGTAGCACAGCCCGATTCATCATAGTGTCAGTTCTTTTCGTCTCTTATATTACTCAATTGGTCGAAGGGCTTTTTGTTTACTTTATCCGTCTCCTTTACTTTTCGCTCTTTTTTTTTAAGAGTAGATTCTTTTTTGTTTTTAATTACATTTACTTTCTTTCTGTATCTTTTTCTTTCTACTTTCTTTCTTCTTCTGCTTCTTTCTTTGTTTCTTTCTTTATTCTAGTTCACTTTTTTATTCGTCTTATTTTTATATTCTTCTGACAGATAGTTCCTCTTTCATCTCTATCCAGATCTCTTCTTCTTCAATCGATTTGTTCTTCTTTTTCTTCTTCATTGGATTTTTTCTTATCTTTCATTCAATCATACATTTAATTCAATCGTTTTTTTTTCTTTTTCAATGGATTTCTTCGTCAATGGATTTCTTTTTCTTCAATCAAGTCTTTCTTTTCATTAATTTCTTCACCTTTTTACTTCTTCAATCGATTTGTTCTGTTTCAATCCATTTTTATCTTCTTCAATCAATTTTTCTTCTTCTTCAATCGATTTCTTCAATCGATTTCATTTTCTTTTTCTTCTTCTTCAATCAATTCATTCTTCTTCAGTCAATTTCTCCTTCTGTTTCAATCCATTTTTCATTTTCTTCAATCAATTTTTCTTCTTCAATCGATTTCTCATTTATTTTTTCAATTAATTCTTTCTTTTCAATCAATTTCTTCTTTTTTCTTCTTCAATCGATTTCTTCTCTTCATTCGATTTTTCTTCTCTTTCAATCAATTTTTCTTTTTCAAACGATTTCTTTTTTTCAATCGATTTCTTTTTACTCAATCGATTTCTACTTTTTCTCCTTCAATCGTTTTCTTCTTTTCTTCTTAGTCGTTTTTTTTCTTCTTCTTCTTCTTCTTCTTCTTCTTCTTCTTCTTCTTCTTCTTCTTCTTCTTCTTCAGCTATTATCATCACTCAGTCCTCTTTCCCGATTTTCGTTCTTGTTGACAATTTCACCGACTTGTCTATTCGTCACAGCCCACTGTCAACAAATACCTTTATCATCTCATTATTTACCTGCGCCCACACAAGTGGAGCGCGCAAATAAAGCAACATTATTCTTGAACGGCCTTTCTGGAAAGAGATTCACGTTTAGTTATTTTGCCCGACAATCAATTTTTATTAGGCAATTATACAGTGAAACACAAAACTTGGCGGTGGAGACAAATGATGGTGTTATGTGATCAGTGGCAGACATTGCGATAAAAGTTTGGGTGGCGTCTTTTTGATGGCTTGACGAGAAACACCCATTCTTGACAGCCTAACAAAATAAACACCCGGAAGAATTCATCTATTTTTTTCTCTTAAACAACATTGTTAGTGTCTATCTAATTCTTCTAGAAATTTTTTCTGCAGTAAAGTTTCGGGAGTTTGGTTGAAAACTGCAAACCCGGCTCCATACAATTATCTCTCTCTCACTCTTTCTTTCTTTCTTTCTTTCTCTCTCTCTCTCTCTCTCTCTCTCTCTCTCTCTCTCTCATTCTGGCTTACGGCCATATCACGTTGAAACACCGGTTCCCGTACGATAAGCAACGTCAAGCCTGGTCAGTACCTAAATGGGTGACACTTGGGAATACTTAGTGCTATAAGCTTAGATGGGCGGGTGATATAATGAATAATGACTTGGAATTGTTAATCGGAGAGCCGAGTTCCAATTCCAGTTGAGTTCGTTATATTCGCTTATTCGCAAATACCTTTGGGGAAAGGCATGAATCCATCTCTCCCCCACCCCAGATATGGCTTAATTATTACGATTCGTATCACCAAACCATTATTATCTCAAAAAATAAATAAAAATTATCTTCTGGCTTTAAATAACCTGCAAGGGGTTGATAAGCCATAAAAAACTAATGAATCAATCACTAAATCAATAACACTTATTCTGGCTAAAAACAAGAGTTAAAAATATTTTCAGATTTTTGTAGTTTATCAGAATCGAAGCGACTTGTCTGGGGCCGGATAGCAAGCAAATAAGCGTAACTCACGTATTCCTGGTCATTCAAGAAATAACGATGCACGTTGACAAGTTCCCTAAATTGTAGGAAACGGCTTGCAATGACAGCGATGGCCATAATGAGAAAATTCATACAGCACCGAGTGGCAACTGTCTGTTTCGTGCTTGAACGGAATCTTTAGGTCAACACCGAGTGGTAATAGTTTGTTTCATGTAGGAACGCAATCTCCACGTGTCAAGAGGATTTCGCCGCTCAGTATTGATTACATTGTCTATTCTTATATATTGATATATATATTTACATCGACTTTTATTAAATAATCTATATAATACTAAAAATCTGTGATTGCGTGCATATTTGTGATGCGTCCGTCGGACGTATAATGATTTGTTAATCTGATTTAAGTGAAGATTTAAAAATACGAGTTGTTGATACAGTACGTATTTTTATTCTTCAAACAGATCATTTTTTTTAATTAAAATATTTTAAATTTAAAGACAGACACAAAGAAATCCCGCTTTGATGTTTCGTCCAGTTGTTCGTAGAGTAATTATTTATAATTCAGCTTTCTTTAGACAAACAATATTTTAAATATTTCAAAATTAAAAGTTTATCCGGGAAGTTCTATTCATATTTACAGATCGTGACAGCTATTAGGGAGATCTGATTAAATATATTTTAATGCTTTAAAAAAATTATTCGGTATTAGAATTGTTTAGGTAATAAGCATTATAACATAGCACAAATAGATATATTTTGGAAAAAGGAATAATCGACAATATACGCATTTTTACGTATTTATGGTTATTTTTAAATTTTTTTTTATTATCAAAAACAACATTCTTCTGCGTGTAATTATGGATAATATTATGCATTAATTACTAATTTTTTTAATTAATAACTATTTGTGCTCAGTTGTTGATATTAATAGCTATCTGCTGATGTGTTAAAATTTTGGAATAATGTAATAATAAAAATTTAAATTTCATCTCTCTGATAGATGTCGGGATCTATTAGAAAAGCAAAATGTCGTAGAAAATATAAATCCTGTCTAATGACTACACTGTTCCTGATGTCTCCAAACCCATTTAAATTATTTCTCAGGCCCATTTTTGGGCTAAAGGACCCATGTTGAGACTCTTTATACTGCAACTAAGCTGAGCTTACCTTAATTACAGTTCAAGTTTGGGCCCCCATAAAGGACACATACGCTTTTGAATTTCGTTTTTGCCTTGAAAAAGTCCACATTGGACGAAACGCGTCGGCAACTATTACAGTTTTCCTATTGTCTTTTACACACACACACACACACATATATATATATATATATATATATATATATATATTAGTCTAGTCTCTCTCTCTCTTCTCTCTCTCTCTCTCTATATATATATATATATATAAGTGCGCATTTATATGCACATTGAGGTAAACATCAAGCGACGACAGCTTGTTTTATGATTGAACGTTCATGTATGAAACAGGCTGTCGCCATTCCGTGTTGACGTGAAAATTACGTTTAACCATGAAACAGACTGTCGCCACTCGGTTTTGACCTCAGTGACCCCTCTTATATTTACACTATCCCGGATATTACCCCAAAATATAGCACAACATAAAGCTATATTTTATACAGATATATATCATATATATATATATATATATATATATATATATATATATATATATATATATATATATATATATAGATTTATCATATACATATGCATATATACATGCACACACACACACACACACACACACATATATATATATATATATATATATATATATATATATAGATAGATAGATAGATAGATAGATAGATAGTATGGTTGAGATTAAGAGAAGCGAGATTGACAGAGTGAGTGAGAGCAGAGGAAGTAAGAGTTGGTGAATAATTGAGAGCGAGTGAAAGAGGCGGGAGTGCGAGATAGCGTGAAAGCGAGTGAGAATGTATGAGAGAGAGAGAGAGAGAGTAAAAAAGTGATTGTGGGAGGAGTGGGTGCGGGGGGAGAGAGGAAAGAGTATAATAGAGAGGGGAAAGAAAATGAAAGAGACAGTGAGTGAGTGAGATAGAGTGAGAGTAAGAGAGAGAGCATCAGGAAAAGCAGAGCTGTCAAAATGTCCTACCTCTCGTAACTGACATTCTTCTCTGAAGATAATAATAGTCTCTGGTAAAAGCGACCAGTAACTTAAAAAAATAAAACATTATCTCTCTCATTGCGTAAAACCTGAAAAATGTTTTCTGTCGTCATTCTTTGTGCGTCTTGCTTCGTTGATTTCTTTGGAAGAAACGGAGCAAAATATCCAGAAATCAACACGTGCGTAAACCTTAGAGATGACATTTTGCATACTATTGTTGAGCCAATACAAGGCCCAAGAGCCTATCAAAGTAGAGGGTTACTGTTGTACAATAAGGCAAGTGTCTGTTGACGTTGATGGAAACACTTAACCGATTGTTCTCCTGAGAATTACAGGTTAACAGGAAGAGAAGGAAAAGAGTCGGGAGGAAACAAAACACTGCCTCAGAAAAGAATAGCACGACCGACCGGGCGCAACCTTTGGAATAAAATGCGCCAATGGATCGTCTTCACAAGAAACTAGTTTGGCTGGTTTTCCCGTCGTTTTTATTGACGTGTGACAGATCACATAAACCCGGAGTTGGACAAGTTGTAGAGAAGCCTGTATATGGACATGACAAGTTCTGCTACTGACGGAAAAAAAACACCGGATGTAACTAGTTTTGATAGACATGACTTATACTTTTGCGTCTGTATGACGCTCGTTTTTCGCAGTTACTGAACGAGGTTGTTGTAAGGACGTAAAGGAAGGAAGCAGGGAGCACAAAAGAGAATATTTAGGACAGATAACACTTTACCGTAGACATGAAGATTTTAAGATCGTAATGATCAGGGAAGTATTCTCCCGGGAGTTTGTTTTACAATGTAGTAGTTCTCGGGAAGGAATTGTTTTCGCGGAACTGCCTCCTTAATAATGGAATACGAAGTGAATGAGAGCGTATCAACCTTGTGTATGTTGAATGGTAGGTCCTGGCTGTGAATGTTTGGACTGATGGAACGAAAGAATGTAGCTCCTATGAGATCATCATCATCATCATCATCATCATCATCATCATCATCGTCATGGGATGTTCCCGACATTGGCTTAAACGCATCAGTAAATGGTGTTATGCTTGTCATACTAGATACTTTTATTATGATCTACTTTAGAACGTTATCTTACAACATAGTCGTAAAAATAAATCCTGTGATCGATGTAATAGCATACTTATTCATCGCCCTATCAGTTTTGTGCGCACAGCTGCGGGGGAACAGGATATAAAGACAGAGAGATAGAAATTTTATTTTCAGGAGGTCACAATGTATTGCCAAATAGATCAATTAAAAAAAAGCACTTAGGCGTTTTATTGTGCACATCAAAATCAAGTAGGTGCGAAAATTTAACTATTTGGGTAGCAGTCAATGGAAAGTGAGACAGAGTAACCCCAAAAGCGCCCCGAAAAAGAATTTTCTATGCGTCGTGTTCGTTCAGGAGGTGGGTGATCATGGCTCTCAACAACTTCCTATCACTTGTCGTTTTTAGACGCAGATACTGCGCACCATAATGCTTCCCCAGTGATGTCTATTCTGGGGCCAAAGAGAGTTTTGGGCCTCCATGTTATCAGGCTTTCTCTCCCATACGGAAAGCGATCATTTCTAGACGAGTATTCTGTCATATCTTTCGCATGATTGCAAGAATTGTATCAATATTTGTGTCTATGCAAATGAGATCCTTTTATTCAATCCTATGTAGGAATTCTGACCAATCAGGGTTTGTTTTGTTTCGTGTTTTGTAGACCAATCAGAGCGGACTGAAACTCGCTCAATTTCTTATAAAAATAATGAAGCCCCAATAGCCAACGAATTTGATTTACCGATGTTTAAATGTGATATGACTGTAATAAATATTTTTTGTTCAAAGATACAATATTAATGCAACATTATTTTATTCAGATTTAATATTTAATAAAGATTCGTTTTATACGAAAAGATTGCGTAACAGAATGCTATTGTAGTGATTACTACTATATTTGCCACGCCTACATTTTTCTCAACTGTGATTGGTTAAATAACAAATACTAAATATCACAGGACAATTTACTGATCGCATTCACCACACTGAATTTTTCCTACCATTAATTCACAAACATGCTTTTGTTATAAAATCACCGATTGGTTAATTTTTCATCCAATCACATATTTTTCGTGTCCTTTCAAAATTTATCCCGCGTTCGTGCTGGGAGCCTACCGATAGTAATATAAGTTCGGATTCATTCCCAAATCAACCAGTAGAGTTGAAACCAAGACAGTTGAAGACAGTAGAACTCAACTACTCACACGCGTCTACACAGATTATTCATTCTACTCACTCCGCACGCACACACACAGACACAGAACTTGAAAATCATTCACCATCAGTTCTTTGTGAACAAGCCAAGTTGCAACACCTTTGTTAGTTATACCAAATATACAATTGAACTTACAGTATGTTCTTCTGAATACACATTTTATTTCGATACAGAACTTGAAACATTCTATTCAGAAAACTTGCTTAATTACATTTCCTAATTCAACTAACAGATAAATGGAAACTACTTTTTTCTTCTTATTCACACATTACAAAAATTACTTTGTATTTGTTGATTTTAATATATATTTTATCGTTGAAACACAAATCGGTTTTCCATTGTTTTTCCTTGATTTAAAAAAAATGTTAAATGCTCTTCAACACGCAGCCACATTAATCTTTTCAACAAAACACCATTTACATTGGTAACCCCAACGTTTAAGGAAAATAGCATTTACACTATCTCAATGATGTCTATTCTGGGGTCATAGACAGTTTCGGGCCTTCATGACACCAGACTTTCTCTCCTACGAGCCCATAGGAGAATGATCATTTCTCCATTAGCATCTGGCATAAACTTCCGTATGATTACAAGAATTGTAAGCAATGCCTGTGCTTACACGAATGAGACGCTTTTATTCGGGTCTATGCAGGAATTGTACTTCTTCGTAACGTTTGACTCTTGCAATACCCCCCCCCCCGCCTAAACAAACTGGTCAGGTGGGCGGCCCACTGTCCCTCATACTTTCGATATAATGATTTTCCAAGAGTAGCTCAGATGTGGCACAAGGCCGAAAGTATGGGGCACCCAGTGAGGATCGAACTCACTACTCAGTCGTAATTGTTCTAGCGAGACAAGCTTGTTAACCATTACACCACTTCTAGGTGCCCTTCATATCTTCGATATATCCTGTGAATGTAAAATTCTTCTTTTCTCATTATGTGTCCAAGATATTTCATTTTTTCTTTCTGATTCTGTAGATAAGTATCCATTTTGTTTACATTTTTCTGAAAACCTTTTCGGCACTCACTCGCTGTGTCCATTGAATTCTCAGCATCCTTCTGTAAAACAATATTTCTGTTGCCTCTAGTCTTCAATACTTCTGGGGTTCAGCACTCTTTTCCTTGTCTCACACCGCTTTCTATTTTTCTATTTACTGAATTCATTTTCTATCTGTATGCAGGCGGTTTGTTGTCAATATTGTTCTAGAGTACTCATGATCACGTGTCCTGTAGCCCACCAGAGTCGTAAACCGCAGTAGAAGTGGTGCATCTTGAACAAGATAGTCAGATGGAGCCCAACTCTCTCCAGGCTAGTTTGAATTCAGAATTTTCCTTCTCCTAGAATGGCTGTCACCCAAGACTATAGAACATAGACTGTGCTACTATTTACCCATAACTGGGGGAGAAGAGATGGATTCATACCTTTCCCAAGGGTATTAGTACGAAAGTGAATGTAATAAACTCAACTGGAATTCGAACTCGGCTCTCCGATTCCTAAATCCCAGCCACATCTATTGCTCTACCTTCCCAAATATGACAAGGTTACCTAGCAGTTTCAACAGTTCTTTGTGATATATTCACTGCCATGTCGAAAGCAATTTATTATATAGCATTTTGTCACTTTTATCTTTGCCTGCAATGACAGTTTTCGATCCCTTATACTTATTGTATACTTATGTCTTAGAGATTATGCAAAGACATTTGATAATGATAATGGTAAAATTAAGATATATAAGCACTTCCCCAGACAGGAGAAACAGAAACAGTCACTCACATCTTTACAAGAAGAGGATCGGCGTTCGGGGAAAGCTCCCCGATTCACATACTCTTATGTCAATATTAACTGACGAAATATATAAGTGAATATTCAATAATTAACTAGCAAGAAAATAAAATGCACATCCAGGTTCGCGATATTTGGGAATCAATCAAGCGATGGCATTACGCTTGTTAAATATTTTGAATCGCGACCTCATATTTTTATCGAGACCTCCACATCTTTCTTTGGCAAAAGAAGCTATACAGCCCCCCGCCCCGGCAGTGTGGTAGAAAAAAGCGTGATAAAAGAACACTTATACTCAGAATTAGGAAAAGACAGGATAAGGGCAAACTAGAAGCAGCACAGATGTTGTTCTACAGAAGGATACTGAGAATATGACCATCAAAAACAGCTCATTGGGGGAAATTCTGGCTTGTCACATTGAATGCCTCGAAAACCAAACTTGAGGCACTCCACCAGCGACGACCGGATCCAGAACTTTCACAAATCGGATGTTCCATCGGTGTACGCACCGCGCCCTAAGCACCTCTGGGGACTTAAACTCAGCCCAGACCTCAGGTGGAACTCGTACATACGATGGGTTGCTAAAGGTGCTAGGAAAATGGTCGGTTCATTCTACCGCTCTAGCAAGTACCTGTCTCTCCCAGCTCTCCTCTAACATTCCAAGAGCCAGATCAGGCCGAAAATGGAGCACTGCAGTCATATATATATATATATATATATATATATATATGCGTGTGTGTGTGTGTGTGTGTGTCCTGTGTGTGTGTGTGTGTGTGTGTGTGTGTGTGTGTGTGTGTGTGTGTGTGTGCGTGTGTGTGTGTGTAAATATATAGAAAAATAGGAAAGAACCGTTAGTAAAGTAAAATGGAAAATAATAAATAGAACAAGAACTTGTAAAACCTGGGATGACCCATGCCCTTTATGCCTACATGAAAAACTACACATTATTAAGTTTTTAAAAAACGAAAATTTATTAAATCAAAGACATGAGATAACGGTATTTTGCCGACACCAGCAAACATTCGCCTTAAATAATTAGCTTAATTTTTTTTTAAATTTCAAAGTCTATAAGCAAGTTCAATTAAAGCAATGGGTTTAAAAACTTAACCCAATCATAAACTAAAAAAATACCTTTAAAAGTCGCCAAAAAAACAAAAAGACAAATTTTAGTTCAATACAACCCTTTTAGAAATTTTTTATGTATACAAAGACATTAACGGCGTAACAAAAGTGCCAAAAACTTTTGGCCGTTGGAATAGACCAGACGATATTCGTTGAACGGATGTCAACATTCGTTTGAAAAAAGGCACCCCGACCCTACCTTGACTTAACCTCTTTTCTAAACTAACTAATATGTTGATACAATAGTTGAAAAATGAATACACTAGCTCCCCTTATTAAAATGATTGGTTTTCTCCATATACATAGAAATTAATATTATGAATGTATATGCTTATAAAGCTCCGTAAATTTCAAAATTAGTTATTCCAAAATTCGCTTGAGGATGAAACAGAACTAGGTACTTTAATTTAATTTAATTTCTATAACTGAATTGAAGTTTTAGCCTCTGTTTTTGAAACATGAAAACTCTTATGTAGCAATGGAATCATATTTTTTTTAAAATAATTATAATATATATATATATATATATATATATATATATATGTGTGTGTGTGTGTGTGTGTGTGTGTGTGTGTGTGTGTGTACAGGAAATTTCCAGTTGTGGAATCGACTCCCAAGATGTTGATTCTCCGATCACTAAAATCATAACCTGTTCATATCGATGGTTAACGTTTATCTTCCAAACTATCCGCATAAGCTGTTCATCTTAAACTGTAGCCCTCTACCTTGAGTGGCCCTCAGATCATGTACAGATTGAACATCGCTATATAAAAAGAGAAAAAGCCCAAATTGAGCGTTCCGAAACATCAAGGAGGTGAAAAAGGTAAATATCTGGCATCCTTTTATCTGGCAGTGAGTGCTGGACAATCTCCGCAAGGATGAGGAGAAAACCAATGACAGCAGAAATGTCGTCCTACAGAAGGATACTGAGAATTCCATGGAGAGAATGAGTAAGCAACAAGGAATTTTAAATAAAAGGCTAATTGAAACACTACTTTTACTCAGAATGAGGAAAAGATAGCTGAAATTCCATGGACACATAATGAGGAAGGAGGGCTTAGAAAACATAACCCACACGGGGCATGTTGAGGGAAAGTCTTAAAATGGCGACAGTAAGAACACTTCTACTCGGAATCAGGAATAGATAGCTGAAATTCCTTGGACACATAATTAAGAAGGGGAGCTTTTAAAACATGACCCTCAAGGAGCACGTTGAGGGCAAGTATTAAAATAGCAACCGAAAGAATAATTCTACTCAGAATAAGGAAGAGACGGCTGAAATTCCTTGAACACAAAATGAAGGTGGAGGGTTTGGAAAACATACCCCTCACGGGACATATTGAGAAAATGCCATGAAATGGCGACACTTCTAGTAGGAATCGGGAAGAGACAGTTGAAATTCCTTGGGCACATAATGAGCAAAGAAGGCTTGAAAAACTTAAACCTCACCGAGCATGTTGAGGGCAAGTCTTAAAATGGTAAAAGAAAGAAAACTTCTACTCAGAATCAGGAAAAGATATCTGAAATTCCTTGGACACTATAATGAGGAAGGAGGGCTTGGCAAACTTAACTCTGATGGGGCATATTAAGGGTAAGTCTTAAAATGGCAACCTAAAGAACAATTCTACTCGGAATCAGGAATAGACAGCTGAAATTCCTTGGACAAATAATGAAGGAGGGCTTGGAAAACATAACCCACACGGTGTATGTTGAGGGTAAGAAACCTCGGAGAGGGCAACCACTTACATGACGAGATTGTGCGAATAAATCGCTTAAATTCCATTTAAGTCCATCATGAATAAACTTCTATTGGCCAGTCGTTGTGACTGTTTCATTATCGAAATTAAAATCATTCGCAGGGAGGAAGCCTATGTGGCTCTTCTACAATCACGTAACATTAAATTTAAAATAAATAATGTTGAAAACAGTAAATAATATCCTGACCTGGCACTTTTAGAGTTTTATCTATTTGGATGGATGAAAGAGGCAAGCAGCAGACAGCGAGTCTCTACTTGTGGCGCGAAAGAAGCAACTCGCATATGTCTATAAAAGCAGCCGAGAAGCTTATAGTAAATCTGTATATATAGTTATACTCAAACGTGGAATACCACGGTTGAGAAGGGAAGAGAGTTTTTGAGGACTTCATCTGTAATCTTGATAAATCTGTGTTCATTTTGGCATGTCTTTGTTGTGATTCTACTATTAAATTTGTTGTAATTAAAGAACAGGCTTTGTTTTTAACCGACACTCGAATTTCCATGATAAAAGAAGACTAGATTAAGGACTAGATTTGAAATCTAGACACTTGTCTTCATAATGTTTTAAGCTTTGTGTGCTTCTATTATTAAATTTAGTGTAAATAAAGAACAGACATTAATTTTTGAATGATCCTCGGGCAACGATTGAGAAGGTAAGAGACTAAGTTGGGGACTAGATTTGGAATTCTTAGACTTTTGTGTTCATTTCGTTATGTTTTGTCTGCATCTATTATTAAATCTGTTATAATTAAAAAAGATAGACATTATTTTTTGAATGACCTTCGAACCACAATTGAGGAGGAAGGAGACTATGTTCTGGACTAGATTTGGAATCTTGATACTTTTGCTTTTCTTTTGATATGCTATGTAAGCTCCTACTATTAAAATGTAATTAAAAAAGAACAGTTATTACTTTTCCCCTACTCTGGTACCATTATATAGAAGGACGGAAACCATATTGGGAACTGTTGAAAATTCTGAGACTTTTGTATTCTTTCTGCTTTTACCATTAAATCTAATGCAATTAAGGAAAAACAGGTATTGCCTTTTGATCGACTCACGTAGACTGAAATTACTCGAATGAACAGCCAGATTATATGGAGAAATTTTCTATTACCTTCTATAATTAATTTCAACTCGTTTCCTCTTTTAAAGTTATAGAGAAAATGTTGTTGTGGCCATTGAATTCCTCAGGTTAGAGTTTATGGGGTCCTCCCCTGACCTAATGCAGATTGCACTCAATGTGAACTGTCTCATTCATGAAATCAACTTATGTAGGTAAATACAGAGGCATATATCCATGGTAAACTTATGAATGGGGTGGAGGCCTATGTGTGTATGAAACTCTTTCGGTGATACAATCATTGACAAAACGCAATAAAACGAAGGCTAGTGTCGGTTTGTTTGTTTAATTTATACCATCCTTAGGAAGATGTTGTTTATCTTTGATGAGGACATCATGGGGGGGGAGGCGCGTCAGGTCTTTTACGATCATCCAACTGTAATAAAGATATTTACAACATCCTTGCACGGCAAGAGAGAAGCAAATCGAGAAGCTAAATATATATATATATATATATATATATATATATATATATATATATATACATACACACACACACACACACACACACGCACGCACGCACATATATATATATTAATTTATATAGAAAAGAGACAATCTTATAGAGAAAGGGAGACAAGAGTGAATAAAGAGAGGAAAGGAGAAGAGACACTGAAGAGCTAGAAACAGAGTGTGAGATAAACAGATAGAGAAAGAGAGACAAGAGGTAATAAAGAGAGAAAAAGGAAGAGAGGAGTAGATACTGAAAAGAGATATAACGGGAGAGGAAGACAAAGGAGATTAAGGAGAGGTAATAAATTAAAGAGGGAGGAGAGAGAGAGTGAGTAAAGAAAGTCAATAATGAAGAGCTGAAGAAAGAGAAATAAGTAACTAAAGAGTCAGTAGACAAAAAGGAGAGAGAGGGGGGCCAATGAGAGAGAAAGAGAGAGAGAGAAGATAGGTAACTAATTAGAGGGACGTGAGAGAAAGAGAGTAAAGAGAAAAAGAGTAGAGTAGATAAAGAAGTACAGAGAGAGAGAGAGAAACTAGAATGAGTAAAGAGAGAGACATGTAGGCAATAAAAAAGCAAGAAATGAGGAGGTGGGCTGAGAGAGAGAGTGAGAGAGATAAGTAATTAAGAGAGGTGGGGAGGGTGTTAGAATAGAGAGATTGTGTAGAGAAATAGAGTACATAATAATGCGCTACCGGGAGAGAGAATCAAGTGAGAAGAGAGATAGACGAGTAGACAATGAAAAGAGAGAAAACATGGGTGATAGAGTAAAGAGAGAGAAAATAAATTAAAGAGAGACGATAATGAGTATAAGGAGAATGAGTAGAGAGAGAGAGAACGTGAGGGAGGGAGGGATTGAGGGAGAGAGAGAAATCGATGTAGAGACGGGACAATGAAGAACTACAGAGAGAGGAACTTAAGTGAGCAAAGGTAGAGACAAATAGACAAAGAAAGTTGGTTGATTGTTTGATTTGTTTTTGACGGTTTATCAACCTATTGTGTGTTATTTAGAGCCGAAACGTACTTTGGATTGGAAGAGAATAAAGCATTAACATTTCTTTTGAGAATAACAATGATTTTTCCAGATGTAAGTTCTACTATTTAACCCCTAACTGGGGGAGAATAGATGGATTCATACAGTTCCCAAGTATATTGGAATGTAACGGTAGACAATAAAAAGGGGAGAGTGTAAAGAGAGAGATAAAGGATTAAAGAGAGAGGCGACTGGGAGTGAAGAGAGAATGAGTAAAGAGAGAAAAGGAAGTACAGACTTGATAATGAAAAGATATACTGAGAGAGAGAGAGAGAGAGGGGGGGAGAAAGAAAAGAGTGAGTAAATAGAGAGGCTAATAGACAGTGAAGGAGACTGTTAAGCGACAAAAGAGAGAAGCTAGCGTGACAAAGATGGCAAGAATGTAAAAAAGATCGTATAGAGAGAAATTGGAGAATTAAGTAAACAATGAAAAAAGAGAGAGACAAGAAAGAGCAAAACGAGAAAAGGAAGAATCAAGCAAACAAAGAAAACACAGAAAAAGAGAAAGAAACAGAAAGAAAGAGAAGAAAAATAAAAACAGAAAAGTGAGAAGCGAGTTGGCAATGAAAAGATAAAGAAAAAGAGGCAGAGAAAGGTTTTAAAGAGAGAGTTACAATAGAATAAAGAAAGAAAGAAGAATGACTAGGCAATAAAAAACTAGGAAGAGGGGGAGAGTAAAGAGAGTAAGTGTATATAGTGAGGGAAATTAGCGAGATATAAGCGAATAAACAATACAAGCCGATAGAAAGAGAGTAAAGAGAGATTTGGAGACAAGAAAATGAGTGATATATTAGAGAGAGTGGAAATGAAGAGTGTCGGAGATTAGAGTGAGAATAAACTGTTAGTGTGTAAAGATAGAGAGGGGGGTTAACATGAGAACGAAAGTAAATACATGCCTTTCTCAGGGAAACGCTTAAAATTCCGAAACGCAATAGACACCTGAGGAAGGTCGGAGGATAAGGCGGCTGAAATGTTGCCATCATAAAAACAACAAAGATAAAATTAGTTAGAAAAAAAAATTTGAAAAAGATCAACCGTTTTTGTTAATAAATAAAGACAAAAAGAAAACTATTCTTTACCGACACGTTTCATCTTCTGATGGATTTTATCAAGGTATTTTGTAATATTTTATTATTAGTATTTATAAGTATTTTATTTTGCAACATGTACTTATACAGAAGTAAAAACATCGGTATCTTTTCAAAATCATTAAGTTTTGGAACGCTAAAACATATTCTAGAGCGAATTGTGAAAGCCAAAGTAAACTTTAGAAGACGCTAAATGATGTGAGTAAATGTTTTTATTGTTTTTGCTGGATTTTTTTTATTAATATAATTATTAGTTATTTTATTTTAATTTAATACACTATTTATGTATTTATTTTAAATAACAGAAGTATTTGATTGAACCGTTTTCTTTTCATTAATAAAATTATGCTTGGGAAACGAGTATTTCTTTTAGGAAAGGACATATTTGAAAAAGTTCGGTTACAGATTTACATTTTGGCAAGATTCGACAGCAGCACTCTCGAGGATTTTAGGTCTAAGTAAACTACTTTTTCCTTTAATAAGAGTAGCGTTTTTTAGACTGATGTTGTGGTTGTACTTATTTCTATGTGTGGCTAATGTATTTGATAAATTGTTGTGTATAAGATCCTTTTTGTGTTCATAGATACATTTTTTTAATTTCTGCAAGTTTCCCCAATATATTGTAAGGAACATTTGAGAGAGTTTATTTCATAATTCATATATATTTTTATAATTTCAGAATGATTATTGTTATGAATATTTTTGGTTCTGATCATATCTATATAAATAAAGCGCAGTGCACGTGTGTCCGTCTGTCCGTCCGTTTTTTTCGATCTCAGCTTATCATTAACAACCTGTAGTAACTACTGTACTGAAACGCGATTAAAAATTAAATAAATAACTCATTGAAAGTTAAATTTAAATATCGAACAGAGTGAAGGGTTTAAAAAAACTTAACTTTAACTTTAATTTCGCTTTTCGTCGCAATTGCAATTGATATCGTCTAATTAAACCGGAATTAAAACTTAAGCGGGACACGGTACGTTGCTCATATGAGTATTTTTTATTTTCTAGCACACGTACTAGATAAATATTGCATAGTTCGGGTTCCCTAATGTTCTTAAAGAGTGAAGGGATCATAAAGAATGATGATTTAAAAAAAAAATGTAGCAAACTACGGGGATCGGTTGCGTATATGAAGAAAGTTTATGCCGAATCAAGGTGTCGAATGAAGATAAAATAATTTTATTATTTCAAAATTCTTATAATTTTTACGTACATAGGACGCTGAAGGTAAAAGGCCGAAGCCCAAGAAGCCCGCTGCAGGAGCTAGCCTAAAGTCAGACCCAAGGGTGGTTACTAGGCTAGTCCATAATAATTCTGGGTGTGGTTTTAAATAATTTGATATTAAGATTATATAAATTGATTTGGATAGATGTAAAGGATTTAGTAGATACGTGTTTTTTTTTAATTTAGTTTATTGTTATTGTTGTTGTTGTTATTAATGTCATTATCTTTTTTGTAGTTGTATATTTTGTATGTGTTCCTCTTAGTGTTGTGGATGAAATAATAATGATATTGGTTAAATGTGTTTTAAATATTTCTTCAGCGGGTAAATATTGGGCACTGCAGATTCTTACTGCTCTTAAAAGGAATCCTATAATTATTCCAGCATTTATTTTGTTAATGTTTGCTGACAATAATCAGAATTGCACCGGTACTGGCTTCAAATAAGATAATCAATTTAAAGGAAGCTATTGGCTTTATGAAAATTTTCATAAAGCCAATGGCTTCCTTCAAATGATTCACGAGAAAATGTATTAACAAAGCCTATACAAGGTGTTTTCGGGCTTTAAGTCGCCAGAGTTCTGTCCTATTTTGGTTGCTAAAAATCTGTAGAATAAATTGTTTGATAATTGATTCGCAAAATACGCATTCTGGTGCACTGCTGGGGGTGTCGTCTGTGATATTTTACATCCGAGATCACAGAGGAACTCAACATCACACTCCTTTCGCCGGTTGATCCAATCAGGGTTGATCAGAACTTGACCCTCCTTCTTACAGATGGATACCACTTCATTCACCACTATTGCTATTTTTGCTTACGGCCACATCATGTTGAAACGCCGAAGTTAAGCAAAGGTCGATCCTGGTCAGTACCTAGATGAGTGACCATTTGGGAATACCAGGTGCTGTATGCTTTGATGTGCTGTAAGCTTTGATGTTATCATGGATAATAGCACGGTATTGTTAATTGGAGAGCGAATTCCAGTTTCCGTTGGGTTTGTTATATTCGCTTACGCGTAAATACCCTTGGGAATGTATGAATCCGCCTCTTCTCCTCCCTGCTATGGGTTAATTAGTAAAACTTGTATAACTATATTATCATTAACCCCCCAAAATATTTTTACAGTCAAAAAAATATTTTCTAACTATTTAAAAACAGAGAATATTTTTTATTGTAAAAATATTTAAAGCTTTGCAAAGGGTTGATAAACTGTAAAAAACGAATCAATCAAACAATTTCCATGTTGGTAGTTTAATTGGTTGCTCCGAAATTTTGTTTTAGTGGCGTCAAAAAAGAAACAAATTACTCCTTTTTTTCTCAGCAACCTACTTTTTCTTTTTTATTTGTCTCTTTCTTCATTTTTACTCTTTTTTTCTTCCATTATAAACGACTTTCTTCTTTTGTTTCTTCTTTTTTACGTCTTTTTCTTTCTTTCTTTCTTTCTTTCTTTCTTTCTTTCTTTCTTTCCCTCTCTCTTTCTTTCTTCTTTATCTATTTTTGCCTGTCTCACAGCGTCATTTTTCAATTTTCTTTCCTTTATTTTAAATTTCTCTCGTTTTCTTTATATTTACTCTTTAATTTTCTATTTCTTACCGACTTTCCATCTTTTCTTCTCATAACCTTTATTTCATGCCTTATATGAATACACGCATGCGCGCATATATGTGTGTATTTGTGAGCGCACGCACGCACCAGTGTAAGTGAACGAATTTAAGAGATCTTCAAAGGCTTGTCTCTCCCTATTGTTACCGTCCATTGAGTGAATAACAAACGTTCGCTAATCCAGTTGAGCTAAGGCGCCACAAAGATTAAGAAACTCTGTGTCCTGTGCCATTCACTGCGGGTTGGCGATTTGGGACCTCATACAATATGAACGCGATACGGCACCCGGGGTACACATCTGCAGACAACTGTCGCCGGCCAGTTGACGTTCCATAATCGTTTTAAGTAAGAGCCATATCGAATCAAGTAGAAATTAGTTAAAGCACAGACTCGCCTAATGCAAACATGGAGATGAATGAAATCTCAAATAGACTTATTTCGCAACACAAAAACGCATATACAATGAAACATCCGGCGTTCACTAACCGAACAGCCGGTGTAACACTTTTGGGATCAGGGTGTAGTATCTGTTCTTCTCCTCTATAATGATAATATTAACCGTTTCCTTATGTGGAAACATTCAGCATTAATTGACCTTGCAACCAATGCTACTAAAGTAATAATTTTTTTCACTCCTTAGCCATCGGGCTGGGATCAGAGTGTAGTATATCCTCATTTATAGTGATTTACTAAACGTGAATTTACTAAGATTTGGCACGAAAGGCCGGAAGTATGAATCCCCCAGTGAGGATCGAACTCACTAGTTAGTCATAACTGACCTAGAGAGACGTTGTTGCTAACCATTACACCATGTCCAAGTGCCCCACAAGCTTATTAGATAATAACAATCATGATCGACCACATCCTGAATGGATGTTGGGTTAAAAGATCTTATCCTCAGAAGGATAAAAACTTGCCCTAAGTGAAATAGGAGGGTTTTTCTAGGCTTGAATGGCAAGGGAACTCTAAATATTTAAACTGTGAAAAAGACAAAAGAAAACTACGCCACTATCTTTTCCATGAGGTCATAGCAATTCACAGAAAATAAAGAAAAATGGAGAGCCATCATCGTCTATATCCTGAAAGGAGACCGTGTTAAAAAGAAATATTCTAAAAAATATACCAATATCAAAAAGAAATCCCTGATATTTAACCGCTACTATAGGTTAAATAGCAAGTTCCACTTGGTTCTGTAGCCTTGGCTCTGTAGCCTTGGGTGGCAACCAGTCTAAGAGAAGAAAAACTCCGAAATCCAAGCCGTCTAAAAGGCATCGAGAAACTACTTCACTGTCTTTCCCCAAAGGCATCATGTTATATAAGAATAGTGTCGCTGTCGACACTAGAATTTGAACACGGTTCACCTGAGAAAAAACACAGACGATCCCATTTTGAATAAGTAGATGGTAAAGGAAATGTATAAATGGAAATTAGAGTGGCGTCTAAGTGATCACTATCCGGATTACTTCGGTAGTGTATTTGTCAAACTTTCTGCCTCTGTGTAGAGAGGAACCCAGACGAGGCTATGCCAAAGGGCAGAGTCTCGTCTGGGGTGGTAGACAGCTACCCGACTCCATTTTTACAGGGTTTAGGGGATATTTTTGGCCGAGTCTACAGGCTCGGATACCCCACAATAAATTCGGCCTTGTGCTACATCCGACCGCTTGGGGCGGTTAGTGAATATCATCGCTGTACGGATTACTTCGAAAGTGTGCTGATCAAACTCTCTGCCTCCGGGCAGAGTGGATCCCCAGACGATGCTATGTCGAATGGCAGAGTCACGTCTCGGGAGACAGCTACGTTTTTATAGAGTCTATGGGGAATAATAAATTTGGCCTTGTGCCGCATTCAACCGTGTAGGGCGGTTAGTGAATATCTCACTAAATGGATTACTATTCGGATCATTATTCGGTGGTTACTTTTCGAGCGAGTAGTGATTTTCCAAGCATAGCTTAGATATGGCACATGGCCGAAAGTGTGGGGTACCCAGTGAGGATCGAACTCACTACTCAGTCGTAATTGCTTTAGCGAGACAAGCTTGCTAACCATTACACCACCTCGAGCGAGTATTATCGAGAAAGTACTATTAGTGCGAGTGTTATTCGAAGGCGTTTGACACTAGTATTGTTCGACGGTGTTATTATAGTTGTATCTGCGATTACAAAGTCTCTACTACAACGAGCATTACGAAAGTGACAACGAGTATTCTTTGACATTACAAAAGTGGCAAAAAGTGTTCGTTGACATCAAAAAACGTCGTAATCTACAGATAATAAGGAAGAATATGTGGAGAGCCATGATCGCCTACGTCCTGAAGGAACATGACATTTAGAACCGTGGAAAAGGAAACGGAAAAACCATTCTACTATCTTTCTAAAAAACCCAAGGAAATTAATAGATAATGAAGACAATAAAGAAAAAGAAGCCATGATCGTCTCCACCATGCAAGAACATGGCATTAAAATGATGTAATTTTAGGTATTACCAAAAATCATCTGGACATATTCAATTCTTCTATGTCTTGTGTCCCTTCAGAAGGGCGAAGATTATGGCTCTCTACAATTTCATGTCATTTATAGTTCTTAACTAGCAACATGGCCTGGCGTTGCCCGTGCTTGATTCAAACATCGTACGACTCATACAGCAATCGCTGTCGCTTGACTTAAAATATTTTTGCCCTTCCTTGCCTTTAAAGGAGTGCCCTTTGCCGTGCTGATGTTGCTACATGCCTTACTTCTTGCCTATCTCACACTGCGAATTTTTTCTAAGCTCTATACTAAACATTAAATTTGTTACGAAAAAAGAACTAAACAAAATGAACACAAAACGATCAGCTTTAAAAAAGGACTTGTAAGTGGAAAAACCGAATGAAAAAAGAATGTTAACAACAAATACTTTTTCACATCCAACCCAGTTCTGCGGATTCAGAATCAACGTTGAGTTTAAGCAAGCGAATGAACCAATTAGAGTAAAGTGCCATACAGATTTAAATTTTTCCCACTTGTGACAAATGCAGCTATCGATTTTTTTGGCATGCTAGCATGCTGGTTAACATTCGTGCCAGTCAGCTGTTGGCTCTCACGCTGGCCAATAGAATCTTTCTGCCTATTAGTGGCAGCCAGATCTCACTCTAACCAGTACAAAATAGCCGCAAACGACATGAAAATTGCCGTAGAAGCATGAAAAAATCGATTATTTCCACTATTGATGGGAGTTGGGAAATGCAAAGTCGGTCTTGGCCTTCCCGCTAACTTGGAGCATGTGCATGTAAATTTTGGTGCAAACCCGTCGAAAATTGCGGCCGTGCATTCGTTACACACACACACACACACACACACACACACACACACACACACACACACACACATCCTGCCTTTTATAGATAGAGATAAATTTTGTTTTTTTTGCTATACCTCTCAAGCCTTGTCTTGCCATTCATTCACTCAAGCTCACTAGGTAGCTTACACGTTGTCGTCCTCTGTACATCTTGCCTTCAAACTGTCCTGTGAATTTCAAATTTTCCAAGCCCTCTTTCCACCTTATGTGCTATAGATATGTCAACAGTCTCTTCCTGATGTATAAGTATCGTTTTTGTTTCTATTGTTTCTAGAACTTCGTCATTTATCTCATATTCAGTACATGGCATTCTCAGCATCCTTCTGTAGAACCACATTTCTGTTGCTTCAAGTTTCTTCATCTTTGAGGAGACTGTTCACTATTCACTGCTATATAGGAGAGCTGATATTACGTAACAGTTCAGTACTTTTTTTCTATTTTTCTAATGAAATTTTAACAAAAACTTGTATCAAAGCGAATTTTAAAGTAAAACTTTTACTTATATGTAAGAAGGAATGGGGGAAATTATGATATATAATTTTTTTGTGCGTTCAGTACAGAAGGTGGTATGTTCCGAAAATTGATAAAAAATGCTCTAAATGTTCTGCCCCAATTTACAGCCACATATGTTGTTGCAGTTTTTGGGGTATGTAAGTACTAGTGAGCCAACTAAAATGAGCTGACTCATTTTATAGTTGGCCAATAGAAGTGTTAACCAATCAGAAAGCTGAAAATATTCAATGCGACGTGTATAAAGGCAGCCATTTTGTTTTTTCTCCCAAAATATCGTCACTGCCAACCTGATATCGAAGACTTAAAGAATTACTTAACAGCCGCTACTTTCTCTGAATATTCACTGCCAACCTCTCATATTGAATACATTACGGACTTCACTGGATTCCATATTCAGAGACTACAGCAAACATGGTCAACATATGTAAAACAGGGTTTCCGACAATATTGCAACAGGAAAAACAACTTCTAAACCCGTTTGAATTTACAAGTAAACATGACTACAGACATTTTTTTAAAATAAAAGAACGCAAGAGAGAAAAGTAGCAAATTTAAACTTCAATACAAAGTGTTGCATACGTGGATGTGCGGGTGGTGTACTGGATAATGGCTGGGAATTGTTAATCGGAGAACAGAGTTCCAAATCCAGTTGGGTTTGTTATATTCACTTACGCGCAAATACTATTGGAAATCAATGAAATACTGATTAGCTACACAGGCATGTCTTTTAGATTTATTTACATTATCTGGAATATAAATGTATAGAAACTATCTCTGGTCATAAAGTGAGGGATCAATTTATATATGGCTTGCATTGTAGAATTGATCCCCTACTTTATATCCACATTATCATTTCTTGTTTGTTTATCAAATTCTGTTTAGTTATAAATCCACCTCTTCTCCCATCTATGGGTTAATTAAGACTTATTATATCTTATTACCTTACAATTTAAAATATTTTCTTGCTTTAAATGACCTGCAAGCCGTAGAAAACGAACCAATCACTCAACTTCAATACGGAAGCTGATATGTTTCCAAAACTGGTACAAATTGTCTCTAAACGTTCTGATCCCATTTCCAACACATAACGCTTCTAAAAATACTGCTGTCTATTAATCATCTATAAAGAGCTTTTTCTGCCTTCCATCAGCATGGCTGATGCTAACCACCTGGAGAGTGACTTATTGCGCCTTATCGGGTTAACATTCTCGGCTGACATGTAGTGAAAAAAGAAATTGCTATTTCAGCTGCTAGACAATTTTTTTCCAGAATCTATCTTACATATTTATGTCTACTATTCGCCCAGGCTTAGAATATTGCTGCCACATATGGCTCCGTGCTCCTGCGATATATTTAAAGATTCTTGATAAAATCCAAAGAAGAATCAGCAATATTATTGGTCCTGACCTGGCGTCTCAGCTTCAGTCACTTTCTTACAGACGTAAAGTTGCCTCCCTGGGTCTTTTATATAAGTAATTTCATGGTAATTGTACAGATGAGCTCTTCATACTAGATTGAAAGATAGATCTCATCATTTTACAGTTGAAATTGCAGGGGTCTGCATATGTAATATGCAGACCCCCTGTCAACCTAAATATTTAAAACCATACTGAAAATAAACATTGAGAAATCAGAAAAACAAAAGAAAATCTAAAATTAAAAAACACCTAACAAAAATTACTTTTCCTCAAGGAACGTCAAAATACTTCAAAGTGAAAAAAATCAACCGAAGTGAAATGGATGAAATTATGACGTGTAGGTTTGAAACTGTTCTTGAAAATTGTTCCACAAACAAACCACACACACACGCACACACACACACATCAAACAAAAACGAAGCACATATACCCATACATACGAGTACAAATAGTTAGCAAACATATACACTTACGTACGTACACATGCGGTACATCCACACATTCATGAGGCATGTATGTATAATGCGCGTATGTTTAACTGTCTTTAGATTTCTGCTACCTCGCATGTCAGTCCCTCCCTGGCCTCTTTCACTTTATCGTTCCTTTCGCTTCTGTTATCTTTTAATGTAGCCAAGGGTCATAACAAATATGTATCCATTATTTGACATTAAACGTAGGCAACACAACTTGGTAAAATAAGTCTCATGAAAGATAACTGGCAGATAGTTTAATATTTTTAGTGCACTGAGATGTGTAGACATTCTATGGAAGATGACATATAACAAATTTCATTTGAAGATCGTCTCTCATGTTAAAAATAGAGTCATTGGTAATCAGGCTCGCGGGCCGGTCAAAATGCCTTCACGGGCCCCATCCGGCCCGCGGGCCGTAGGTTGCCGACCCTTGTTCTATGTGAACAGTTATTTTCTCGGGTTTCTCGCATGTGGAACTCTCTCCTGGCTCTATGCTTTCCAGTTAAGTTTTATCTTAAAAATTTTTAAATCAATGTCAATCGTTATCTACTCTCCTCCTGATTACTCTTCTATTATTCTCGCTCTTTCATAATGTTTCTGTTATCTAATTCTTTCACGTCCACTAACCTCTTGTGTCTTAGTGGTTTTACTGCCTTAAATTCGATTAAAAAAAACATAGACGTTTTCGACAATAGTGCAACATGAAAAACAAATTTCAAACTTGTCTCCACAAAATTGCTGTTTGCATTATCAAAAGCAAAAACATGTATTGAATATATAATCCCCCACCAAAAAAAAACAAAACATATCCGCCTTTCTCATTAATTTTATTGTGAACTCATTCATGATTAGTGTTCCAGGTTCTAATTGTTACAATATCATTATTGAATATATAAAACATAGTACATTAGTGAAGTTAGTGTAGTGACTTCATGTCATTTAGAATTAGTAAGGACCGATCTATTTTTTGTACTACATAATCACATGAATGGATATATAAGTTATGGGTAATGGAATAAAAACAAGTTTGAAAACCTTTCCTTTAGAAAGCGGTAAATGCACGAACTTGCCTTGACGATAGCTGAATATACAAGTAAACATAGCTACAGACGTATTATATATATATATATATATATATATATATATATATATATATATATATATATATATATATAAAAAAGAGACGCAGGAGGGAACAGCAGTAAATTTCATAGCCATTAGAGCGACTCTTACGAAGAAAGAAAACAGGTTATATATGAGATGGTTGTCGGTCGAAGGCGAATGATAATAAATATCTTCAAGTAGACCTGAAAGAATCTGACAAACAAATCAAGATTTTGATACTACGTGGATATCGTGCATATTATTAAACTGGCAGATTAAGCAGAAACCAACATTTGTTTTTTAGAGCTTTCCTCTCGAAAAAGATTTATATTATCAAATTCTATAGCCTCAGCTACAAAATATAGCCTGAAATATTGTACAGAAGCTAAAATCTCGTCTTTGTACGAGTTATTCTACTTTAAATATACTACACATTTACGGGAAATTATTTTCATTTTTTTATTAGATGAAGCATTGTTATTAAGTTTTGACTTGTATTTACTTTCATCTACATTTTTAATTAGATGAAGAATTATCAGGCATTGTTATTAATTTTTGACTAGTATTTACTTTCATCTTCATTTTTAATTAGATGAGGAATTGTAAGGCATTATTATTAATTTTTGACTCGTATTTACCTTCATCTTTATTTTTATTAGATGAAGAATTGTCAGCCATAATTATTAATTTTTATTCATATTTACTTTCATATTCATTTTTTATTAGATGAAAGATTGCCACCTATTGTTACAAATACCTGTTTAGTTTTCATTTTATTTGATGAAGCATAGCCAAATATTATTATTAATTCTTGATGAGTATTTAATTTGTAAAATTAGGAGGTAAATAAAAAAGAAAAATGTTTAGGAAACTAATAACTATAACAAGACCGGTCCATCTCGATCTTGGGTCCTTCCCACACTGGTCAGTACTGCCACGAGTCAACTGATGGTTTTCTGCTTGATGCTTCGTTCCTCCATCTGCTTCTGCCTCACGCTGTGTTCCTTGATCATAGAGCGGTGAAGATTTAATTTTCTTAAGCGCAGCTCGAGCTGCAGTGGAACCGTGCTACAAAATGATAAAGTACGCTTCCGCTGGCGAAAATATAAATGATATAACCAAAATAACGAAGAAAGTCACCAGGTTAATTTTCAGTTGGTTTATACAGTTTTTGATATAACAGAATTAACCTTTCCCGTCAAACCCTTCATCGTCACTTTCTTCTAAAACTTGGAGCGGGTTAAAAATACAAAAAAGGAAGAAGTCGGTCAGGCATTCTCTCGGCAGCATGTCACGTGGAGTCCAGCAGCTCCTTCGTCCGCTGCTGTCTCGTCTTCGTCTCTGTTTATATGTATTTCGCCCGACTCCTACCGCACCTAAAGACTCATTAATATTCATACCAATTCAATTTTTATTTTTATTTTGGAGAACCGATACTGATTTTCAAACAAAGCGGTCACTTATTCAAAACAATGCATTCTTCGACAATAAACTTTTTTTGTCATTCCTATCTATGCTCTGACGGCAATCGGCTGCGTCGGCAACTTATCCATAACAATAATTTTTCGATAACAAACTTTTATGTTTAAAAATTATTTCTATGTCCCTGATGTTAAACAATTTTCTTTGTTGTCGACTTTTAGATATGGCCGGATACAATTTTTGACCACATTGCATTTTTACATTATTGCCTTTGTGACTTATTTTGTTTTTCGGCCGAGAATTAGGTTTCACATTCTTCATTCTTCAGGGCATATTTTAGATTGTTTACACTCTGGCTTTGTGGATTCACAACAATTCCATTTGCCCATCAGTTTATCAGGAAATAAAAAATTCTCTTTTCAATTTTTGTTTTCACTTTAACGATTTTAACCCTTCCAATTCTCCACATCCCATCCGGGGTTTTCACATGAACCTTTTTCATCCGAATTTCATACTACTAGTGGCACAATATTAGTAAAAGTTGAAGAAGAAACTCGAAATGAAAAAGGAGGAGGAGGGGGAGGATGTGGAGGAGGGAAGGAAATGAAGAGGAAAAATTAAGACGAGATGAAGAAATCGATTGAAGAAGAAGAAGAAATTGATTGAAGAAGAAAAAAGAAATAGATTGAAGAAATGAATTAAGGAAAAAGAAATCGATTGGAAGAGAAGAAAATCGATTGAAAAACAAGAAATCGACTGAAAGCGAAGAAGAAACAATCGATTGAAGAAGAATAAGCAATCGACCGAAGAGGAAGAAACAGAACATGATTGAAAAAGAAGAAAGTCGGTTGAAGAAGAAATCGATTGAAAAGGATAAAAATCGATAGAAGAAGAAAAAGAAAAAATGAAATTGATTGAAGACGAAGAAAAATCGATTGAAGTAGAAATGTATTGAGTAGAAAGATGAAATGGATTGAAGAAGAAGAAGAAGAAGAAGAAGAAGAAGAAGAAGAAGAATGGATTGAAGAAGAAAAAATGGATTGAAGGAGAAAAAGAAGAAGAAATCGGTTGAAGAAAAGGAAGAAGAAGTGGACTGAAGAAGAAGAAATGGATTGAAGAAGAAGAAAGAGAAATGTATTGAAAAAGAAGACGAAGAAGAAGAAATGGATTGAAGGAGAAATAGAAGAAATGGATTGTAAAAGAAGAAGAAATAGGATTGAAGAAGAAAAAGTACAAGAAGAAATGGTTTGAAGAAGAAGGAGGAGAAATTGATTGAAGAAGAAGACGGAGAAGAAGAAATGGATTGAAGCAGAAGAAGAAGAAGAAATGGATTGAAGGAGAAAAAGAAGAAATCTTTTGAAAAAGAAGAAAAATCTTTTGAAAGGGAAGAAAATTCGATTGAAGAAGAAGAGAAATACATCGATTGAGGATGAAGAATAAGAAGAAAAAGAAAAAGAAATCGATTGAAGGCGAGATCGATTGAACTTGAAGAAAATAGGTTGTTTAAAAGAAAGAAATGAATGAGAAGCCGATTTAAAGATGTTGACCTTTATGCTGTGGAGAAAAAAGAACGAAAAGATAAGTAAGGAAATAAAAGCAAACATTTGAAGAAAGACTTTCAAAACAAAAGTAAAGAAAGAAAACGTAAGCAAAAATGAAGGTCGAAACTGAAAGATGGAGAGAGCGTGAAGAGCAAAAATAAACGCATAAGTTCTTTTGCCCATCCGACCAGTCAAGTCAGCATATTACATTAAGTTTCACACATATTAAGCTGTTTGCCTTCTTTCTTTCTTTCTTTCTTTCTTTCTTTCTTTCTTTCTTTCTTTCTAAGCTACCAGGGGGCGTTATTGACACGGGAGATCTCGTTTGCGAGACCGGCGCCGACAAAGGGCTCAGTGTTTAGTGTTGAGATTTACCGTTTGGCAACTATGTATTGACTTAAGTGAAAATTATTTCCAGCTTCGTGAACGTTTTGAGACGGAGGTGTTAGCGGTGTACGCAGCCTAAATTGATGCTGGGCACAATGATAGGCAATTGGCGGGTGGAGCCGGCCTGGCAAAAGACCGAGGGTAGTAACCCGGGTGAAAAGGAGAGAAAGCAGGAGTCGGAGAAGAAAGAGGGTGTCGCACCAAGCAGGAAGGACGGGCTCAAAAAGCCACCATACAAATGCGTAAGTCTATTGACTCTCACCAAATCCAACCGCTTTTGTCTTTTTGAATAGATGTTTATATTTAGGAAAAAGAAGGGAGAGCCAGAAGGAGATGGGGCGGGGAATGACAGAGAGAGGGAGAGAAATATAGAAGATTGAAGAAAAAAAAAACATTCGTGAGAAGACGCACGTTTGTAAATACACGCACCGGTGTATTTTGTGACGATAGAGTCTGTTGATCCGCACACAGGGCAGTATAAATTGATATCTGCATTTAAAAAAGAAACGGTAATTTGGATCTGGAGCTAACACGTTCATTAGCATATTTCTGTAAGGAGGGGGGTGCATGAGACAGACATCAAAGTAACAAGGATACGTTAATTTTCTATATAGTATTCATCTTTTCATTCTGATCTATCTATCTATCTATCTATCTATCTATCTATATCCCTCTGTTCATATCTATCTATCTATCTATCTATCTTTGTTCATATCTGTCAGTCTATCTATATCCCTCTGTTCATATCTATCTATCTATCTATCTATCTATCTATCTATCTATCTATCTATCTATCTTTGTTCATATCTGTCAGTCTATCTATATCCCTCTGTTCATATCTATCTATCTATCTATCTATCTATCTATCCAAGAAGAAAGACAAAAAGAAAACATATTAGACGACACGTTTCGACCTCTGAGGGGCTCTATCAAGACAATTGTAATCTATCTATCGGCCTCTTTATGTCAAATTATTTTTATCCTACCCGTTGTCTCTTTCTTTCTACTAGTCAATAATGAAAAGTTCCTCGACTAAACAAGGGGCATGACAAAAAAAAAACAAAAAACAAAAAAACTTCTATATCCAATCTGTCAGATTTTATTCCACTCGACTTTTCCACAAATATTTTCATGACAATTGTTCTGGTGAGCTTTCCTGCTTGGTGCTTCCTTTGCATAAATTGAAGCGTACTACTAGATTGGCAATTAGGTCTCACCGTTTTACTTTTGAACTAGCTAGATGCAACCGTATATTCTATTTTAATAGTTTATTTTCTCGTCTGTGTAACTCCCTTCCGATTTTTTTCTTCCCTACCACCTACAATCTTCAAAATTTCAAATGTATCACCAAACCCCAACTTTTGCCTTCATGAAACCTGTTTTTCATTGACCATTCTCCTCACTAAATGTTCTCATATATATATATATATATATATATATATATATATATATATATATATCTATGCGGATGTCAGTGTGTCACTGTGTCACAATTTTTCAATTGAAGGGACACAACTCAATGTTACAGAAATTTTGGATTCCCAAATTTCCATTATTGTAATTGTTTTCGGCGATTTTTAACGTGATTTTTTTTGCGGTAAATTTTTTGTACGATAACAATTTTTATAACTTTGAAATAAATTTGTGAATAATCGAAATTAATTTGCGAATTCAAGCGGAAGTCACCCATAAAATAAAAATAATTGTTTCTACGGAAAGTAAGTACCTACGTACATCAAATTCTCTTTAAATTAAGTGGCAGCAGAAGAATTATCTTTGAACTTTTAAAAGGTAAGCTTAAAAATTAATGCAGTGCGTAAATGCAGTGATCAATTTTGAGTTCTTCTCTAGTTCATTGTCTGTCGCGTATGGTAGCACTATGCCTCGCAAAAAGAAATCTCCACCAACAGAGGACCAGATTGCAATCAAAAGAGCTAAGGCTGCATCGAGGAAAAGAAAGTCCCGTACAAATGAAAACCCAGATAAAATGGCAGTTAGGAGAGCTTCCAATGCTGCGAATATGCAAAGACTTAGGGACTCTCAAACTCCAGAACAAGTCAAAAGCCTCATCAGGAGCCTTCTGTAGCAGCTAGTTTAAATGCCGCCCGATAGGGCAACTTTTAAGCATATATATATATATAAGTTACGAAGAACTTGGTAAACCGAATAATATTTCCTCGCATTTATGTATATGCGAGGAAATATTTTTCAGCGAAAAATACATAATATGACATGTATACATTCACGAGACATTTCCGCCACACTTCCAATGTTTAAATTTCAACATTTCAACATACAAATGCGTATGTATAGACATAACACCACCCGTATACATACATATGTCATATCCGAAACTGCCCACATATGTTATATATGTATGAGTCCCGACGGACGACCAAGTATGTATATGTGTCTACATACATCGATGTTTGCGTTAGTACGATGAATGACAAAACGGCGAAGTTTCCCCCACCACTTCCACAATAACACCAATACACGCAATCTACATAAACCCAATTTTTTAAAACATTAATCAGTTTGTCTGACGATCGCTAAAGCGTGAAACCCAGGGTCACAAACTCACATCTATCCAACCAAATATGTTAGCTCTATCTCTGATATTGAGCGCTTTCTAATAAGTACCGCGCATATAATATATAAATAATTATACATATATATATTTATTTATATTTATATACACTTTTCACATATATATATATATATATTCAGTTGCATGGATATTTGTTTGTAACCCTGAGTTTCACGCTGCTGCGATCATTAGACAAAATGGTTTCTTTTTAAAATTGGATCTATTTATGCTTATTCGTGTTTGATTATTTATGTGTGGTGGAGGGGGAATTCCCTTCTGTGTTTGTTTGGGATGACATAAATGCAGGTGTGTGTATTTTAGTTCGTACAAGCACACCCATAAAAATAATGTGAGGTTAGGTGCAGATACACATCTACGCCTTCGAGTATACAAATATACACAACTGTCGTTTTATTTCGATGTCGAGACAGTAGCACTTACACATGTGGCAGTGTTCTTTTAACTATGCACAGGTGGGGGAGGGTCTTGACGTTTTTCAGATCGGCCGTCCGCGCCGTCAGATAAGCTCACATTTCCTCACAAATACATACACATATGTAGACGCATACACATACTCATTGGTCTGGGTCTACTATCTATCTATCTATCTCTCTCTCTCTCTCTCTCTCTCTCTCTCTATATATATATATATATATATATATATATATATATATATATATATATATGTATGTATGTATGTTTGTATATATTCATTGATGCATGTTTCATTAAATAATATAATTAAATGTTTAATGATAATGTTATTAAACTTATCAGGCGATATGAAAAGAATTTACATAAAATAGACAACACTTGTCTATATTATTTAATGAAACATGCATCAATGAAAAATGCTCAATACAAAAATATATATATATATATATATATATATATATATATATATATATATATATATATAAGAAGTTAAAGGTGGAGTTGTTTCTTAAAGTTGTTCTCGGATCTTTTTCTCCTCTTTTGTTAGTATAAATATGTCCTCAACATAACAGGTGTAAATTTTTACTATGAATTATTTTCGTTTTAAAGTTCATTTTCTAGGGTTGCCATATAACAGATGATACGCTTAATTTGTTTATTTAATTCATTACGAGTTGTCGTTGACTACGATTGGTTTCTAACGTATTCTATACCGAACCTATGAATACTAACGTGTATGAACCATTCCTCATAATACGAAAACTATACTAAGTGGGTGTAATATCCATCAGCGTGGGAAGCTCTTGCCGTGTTGAACTCTCTGCTTTCGGGCAGAGAGGAACCCGGATGAGGCTATGCCGAAGGGCAGAGTCTCGTCCGAGGAGGTAGACAGATACCAGATCCTGCGTATGCGGGGTCTACGGGCAATTTTCTACGGGCTCGGATTTCCCCACATTAAATTTGGCCTTGTTCAGCATCCTACCGCGTGGGGAGGCAGGTAAATATCGTAATATGCTGTCTAAGTAGTCCACCACTAGCAGTGGTTTACCTACTTCATGCCGCTGGCGAGTATTGTGTTTTGTTGATGTTATAAAGATTACCATTTCATTTCCAACCCCTGTTTTGGTTATTCCTCATTCAGTAACCTTTTCTAGGTTACAACGTAACGACAGTAGCTAAATCGGCCTATAATTAATTTTGTAAACTGTTTGGCTTTCTTTGGTTATTATTGTATTTTTTTGAAATAATTTTTAACGGTTTCTTTACGTCTGATACAATTTCTATCGTCTCTCTACACATTGTTTAGTTATTTTTATTCTTACGCTTCTCTCTCCGTTGTGGTGTAAATGATATCAGCTCGGAATCAGAAGTCGGAGATCCGAGTTCGAATTCCTGTCGTGCTCGATACGTTCACTTACGTGCAAATACCCTTTTGAAGGGTACAAATCCATCTCTTCTGCCTCAACTATGGAGTTAATAGCAGGACAGACTGGGTCCTTGGTTGGTTGGCAATCAATCTAACGCAGAATAGAACGGCAACCTACCGCAGAAAGATCTCTGCCTAGTCATGAAACTAAAGAGATGTGATCGCCCAAACGCGTATCACGTATGGCACTTAACTGACCAAATAACTTTAAATAATATTCAAGAACTTGAGGAATAAATAGTTTAGATTCTGACTGTGTCATCCATGCTTTTCGGTTAGAACGAAAGTAGACGGACAGTTTGTGTTTGTTTACATTCTTGAACGCCCGCTGATTTTCTGATTTAA